GGAATGACAATAGACCCTTTAATGCATGACATGTGAGACCATCACATTTGCATCTACATGGATTAAACATAAAGTGCAGTCCTTTTATGCTATAATCAGATCCAATCTACTATTGTCCCTCGGGAGTAGCTCTAAGGACACCACATTGCCAACTCCACACTTAATGGCCATCAGGCACACATGCCTCCTACTCATCTATAAGTATAATAAATATAGTAAGTAGATCAACATTGATTGTTACAAAGGGAAGGAGTTCAAAGTTTCAAATGACCCTGGCATTTTGCCTTGAGATTAATACACAATAAATCTCCTATAAATATCTCTTGCAATATTATATTAGGAATTTCTTAGCAATCTTATAAAATCCCAGACCTAATAGAGAAAACTATCAGCTTGGTTAGCTCCAAAGGATTACCGCAAATCTCAAAGACTCGGCCTTTCTTGTGGAGATTCAATCATTCTAGTATTGTAAACATTCCAGCTATTCATTTGAAAGCATTAGAGATGTATTGGAACATGTTCCAGATATGACTGATGTTTGTCATATCTGTGGTGCCCATGTGACAAGTATTAGCCATTGTCAAGTTTTCTCTCTATATATATACAGACTATATTTATATTATACTGCCAGTCATAGTTGATTTATATTGAGGAAATGCTTACTATATGTTAGCTTACCTTTGACTCATCCAGTTCATTTATCTTTGTTTTAGACCCAATACAAATCAATCATCAGGGGAGCTTATTTTATCATTTTCCAATTCTTAGAGAGCCTTCGAGAGATTATTATTCTAGTAATTCTATACAGTTTAGCTTGTAGCTAAAAAAAAGGATTATTTATGAGACCACCTCGCTTAATATTAACATGCATTTAATGATATTAACATCAAAAACTGAAGAGTTAACATAAAAAATGCAGTTAATTAAAAAAAAGATAATTTTATAAATATTTGATTAGTACATAAAAAAATATTAAATTGAGCTATGATTTAATTAGAAATAAAATAAGAGGTTTAAGGAATTAATCTTAAGGTGTGAAGTTTTCCTTCTTTTCTCAATACATGTTGAAAGGCAACATTATTATCATCAATTAATCATTAGCTATATAAGCTTTAGAACTCCATTAACAAATATATAGTTTCTTAGATTTCTTTAATAATTCAAATTAGTTCAATAATAGTAATTAATGAATCCGCTTTACATTTTTGTATGTCTGTTTTTTTAATTATTATTTAGAGTTGTAAGACAGCCTTATATTTATTCGATCAGATAGCTCTAGGTCAGCTTTTTATGTTTATTCAGATGGCTGTTAGTAAGATAATATTGATCATTTCAGGTGCATCTTACAGAAATTTATAGTTTAAAATAAAAATTGTACTAAAAAGTTGTTTTAGAAAGCAATAAGAAAATTGTCTCAAACGAAGCCTAAATCCATTCAAAAAATTGCTTGTCCAATTTTCATTTAGATTTGAATAAGGTTTGGTTTGGGGCAGCTTTTTTTCTGTTTTTAAAAGCAATTTTTTAGTACAAAAAATTTTTTTGAGATAAAAAATGTTGTACTAAAAAAATGCTTTAAAAAGCAATAAAAAGTCATCCCAAATGAAGCTTCACTTTTGTACGTATTCCACCACTTAACTGTGTTGTTTGAAAGCTAGGCGTACACACAACTCTCCTTGGCCTATTGGTTGAGAGCTAAGGCTTCAAACTAAGAGGTCTAAGGTTCGAGTCTCTGTGTATGCGTTGTGTGTGTGAGTTTGCCTTAAATGGCCTAAATGTCCCAAAAAAAAAAGCTAGGCGTACAATCTTCCTATCCCTGTATTTCCCTTTCTTAGCTCATTCTCTCTTACAAATTCAGACACTAAATATATTATTCTCCTTATGTTATTGGCATGAATAACATCTTAACATGTGAAAGTAGAGAGCTTTCTATTGATATTGTCACAGAAGTTTTAGTGTTTCTAATAAATTGTGTTGTGCAAATCATAAATCAAAGCAAATTAAATGCAAGCGATTGGAATCTAACTTCTTCAAAGGATGGTATATGGGAAATCAAAATATCAACATCCTTATTTGTGAGAGATCTCTTCAACACAAAGTTTGTTTTGGATCAAAGCTAATGGAAACAAAATTTTCCCGTTTAAAAAAGCTAGTGAATGCGCAAGAGAAGAACAAATTAAGATGTTTAAAAAGAGAGGAGTATCAGATTGTAGAAAGCATAAAAACTTCAATAGAAGATATAAATGTTTAGAATAATATTAGGTACAAAAGGCCACAAAATATCAACCAATAAGTAGATAACATAGAGCTAAAACTTTAATATGAATACATGCTTTGGTTAGAATACATGAATTGGTTAGAATCCAAATATTTCTGCACTTTTTGATATCCATCATAGCTTGCCCAAGATCCAAATGAGATAGCCAAAGTTTTTAAGATATATTTGCAAGAGCATTAAATAACAGCTGAACAGCCTGAACTTGGACAAACTCTACATTACATGGCATACCATATCAAGAGTGGAAGCATTGTGAGGAAAAGCTGCTAATTTATTGGTATGATAAAATGATTAAGGAGCTATTATTAGACGGTAAAAGAAAGAAATTCTTAACTATATAAGACTATATAGATGCATTGACGCCTCAACTTAAAGTACAAATTAAATTTAGTATAGCATAGAACTAGCTACGATATCGTATGCATAAAGTAAAAAAAATAAGGAATTAAATCCGTTCATTTATTACAAAAATGTTTTGAAATATAGAGTGGCATAAATTAATGCCTACGTATGTCGATGTGAATACCATTAGCTCCAAGTGTATAGACATTTGGGGCATATATGAGCTATCACAAAATTGATGATCTCTATAAAAATATTTTCCACATTTTCCAGCAGTGCTGTGACAAAGGATTGAGTGGCTTATGCCATAAACTAGTGTTATTAATGTGTAATGAAAGAGGTACTCGGGATGGGCCTAGATAGACCAAAGTTAAAGGCATAGTCATGTTGTATGGTTGGCTATGGAGAAAAGAATGGCTTCCTTTGAAAATGATTGTTGAAAATTTAGTGCAAGTATTTGCTTCAACCATGATGCTTTGCTCAGCCTTATACAAATTATCTCATAACCATTAGGATATGATATTTGATTCTTTTGACTCACAAATTATTATAAATTCTATTGATCAAATTATTGAAGAGCCTCTTAATAATGAAGCTAATTAGCTTTATGATATTTATGAGTTGCTCATCATTATTGCACACTTACGAGCCTCAATCACTCATAGTTATTCATTATAGTTAGACGGTTGAGCATTAAAATAAATTATAATTTTCCATGAGAATATTTCAATTAATTTATTTGATAGTTAAATGGGGCAAAATAAAAATTACTTTTTTACCAATTGACTTTTGTAAGACAAAAATTGGGTGTTTGAATTGGGTCTGAATACAAAAAAAATAAAAAATTCTTATACTAATAGATGCACATTGTATTATAATTGACTTTTGTAAGTGAAATATTTTTAGATCTTCCCAATTAAAGAATGATTTCAATCTAAGGTAATCTAGCTCTAATGCATCTCAAGTTATATTAATGGGTTCAATTCTTAAAGGTTTTATATAAATATCTTTCAAATTTCAATAAATATGTAAACATGAGGACATGAAAACTTTTTTTTTTTTTTTGAGTGTTTTCTTCCCACTAATTGTATTTCCTTATGAGAAACAATTTGAAATCTATTAACTAAATTAAATCAATTCTATAAGGATAAGTGCTCCATATATTTAAGATAAGATTTTTTTTTTTTTTTACTGTGGAGTGAATTGAATATTCCATTTATATTATACAAACTAAAAAATATACATATCCACTTAATTTCTTCAAATTGATTGAAAACTCATCGTACAATAAAAGACTTAGTTAAATATCTTTACATGTATTCATTTGATAGGTAAGTACAAGTAATGCTGCCTTGTAAGAAAAAAATTATTTATATGTAATATATCTAATATGTTCAAATACTATAACAAATTTCTTAATAAAATAAAATAAAATGTAAATAAATACCTGGCAAAATATTCTCTCATTTTTGTTCTTACCATTCTATGCCACGTGTATAGCATAGTGGATTTTGGGACTCCTAAAAGCATTTCTAGCAACTAATTTCTTATCAAAACATTTGCCATAAAACTCCTTTTTGGTTGATAAAGACCATTAAAAAAAATCATCAAATGGAGCTTTTATTTCTATGGTTAAGAAAAGAGACATATCTTGTGGTGTCTTTGATATAGAGATATCATGGCTTATATTTAAATATTATGGTTAGACAATCTAATCACCATTAAAAGATTATCTAAGGGTTACTTCCTCAAAAGCCTTTCTATTAAATTTTTTTTTTTTATTTATATGAGGAAGGAAGGAAAGATGAACTTCAGTAAAGAAAGACATGCGATTCATAGAGACAATAAAATCTAAGTTGAAAATATATTAAAGATTTCTTAGGAAACTTATAATGTTTGGTATGATAAGCACATACTATCCAAACACTTTGTAGGAATGAAACATCATGTGGATTCATTTATAGAAGATAAGGATGAAATTAGAAAATGAAAAGCTGAAGCAAGCAACCATTTCAAGATTGTTAAGAAGATTAGAGATAATGCTTATATGTTTGATTTTTTTTTTTTTTTCTTATATGAACATTTATTTATTAATAAATAATGAAAGATTTGAACTTATATAGTTTTCTTTGTTTGATGATTTTAATGAACTAAGAAAATGAATACTTAATATATATGACTTAGATGTAAAAAAAGGAGGACCACTATGGGAAGATTATATTATGGATAGAGAAGACATAAATATGATTGCAAAAGCCAAAGAAGATTTTAAGAAGGAATCTACGATTTAAGCGAATTTAATATCAATTGATTAAGCCCAACAAAGCCTGTAATAAAACTTAACTTCAACACTATAGCTACATTTAAAACTGGGCATATATGATTTTTTTTTTTTTTTTTTCATTAATGATGACATTCCATCAACCAAAAAGCACAGCACCATCCAAGGATTACGAACAACGGTAAAGATTATTACATGCAGAGTTTGGATGGGAGAATCATTCGGATTATGTAAGGGTACAAAGCAAATATATAATCTTATTTTTTATTGTGTATGCATTTGATGTATACCCTCATAGATTCCGGACGATTATTTTGTCCGGACTCTGCACATAATAATTTCTCCAACAACAAAGACATCAGCTGTTTAAAAAAAAACAAATAAATTTACAACTCTATATTATTGCAGGAGATGAAGCATATTTGCATCAGAGAATGATTCAATAGATGAGCTTGAAATAAATAATTAAGATAATTGCCAGCAAGAGGACTACTATTATGCAGCCTATAATCCATTTGTTCCTGTCAATCCTTTTTGATAGAGTAGCCAGGATCTTCTTGCTTTTGCCAACGTTATCATCCACACCATGCAACTGCAAGCCAATTAAAAATGCAAAAAATCAAAACAACTCGTAAAATATCATGGCAGGAAGCATGGTTAGCTGGCTAAGCATACTCAAGAAATTCTTGTTACACCTCAGAAGCATAAATAGAATTATGTCTTGAACTAAGCTCTCCCCACTCAAATGGATATCATTTAGGCTTTGTTTGGGACGGCTTTCTTATTACTTCTTAAAACAATTTTTTTAAGTAAAAAATTAAAAATTTTATACTAAAAAGCTACTTTAAGAAGCAGTAGAAAAGCCGTCTCAAACGGATCTCTTTCTCAACTCTGTTGTCTTCTTAATAGTCTTCCCCTCCTTCAGCGTAGTTCTTGGCAAGCGAAATTGTGGTAACAGACCCTAATCTTAATCTTGATCTTGTAAGACTTTCCACCAATAACAAAACTGTGATATTGCTATGGACTCGGAGCCAAGTGACTCGCTTTATGCATACTTTAGTGGAGATCCCTACGATTTTGATACTCTATCGATTACAAGACACAAGGCTCCATTTAGCATTCAAGCTTTGGCGTATAGATGGCAGACTTCTCCTTTTGAGCGACTTGATTGCCTTCAGGGTTCCTTCCTATTATCATTATATGACGAGCACGACAATCACTAGACAAGGTGATGATTCCTATGGGGTTGGTGTTATTGGGTGAAGAGAGGTGATGACACCACAAGAGGAAAGTAAATAATCTAATGGACAAATTGACCAACTTCATCGTAGGTATTCGGTAAACATAAAAGTTCTTGTAGGAACCCTATTGGAGATTCAAACCTGGGAAGCTCATTCTACTTTTTGATTTATCATGATCTGAGGTTAGAAAATATGACCTAAAAAGACTTGGTTAGAAAATATTATGAATGATATTTCTTTATTAGATTTAAACGAGAATTTGACTTTTAATAGGACACAATGGAGAAAAATGATTCATGTAGCCAACCCCCCCACGTAGTGGGATAAAGGCTTGATGTTGTTGTTGTTGTATGATCTGAGGTAGAGGGAAAAAGGTAGTAGCCTAGCATAAGATATGGCAGCAGGATGATTTGTGTATTTTGGATCCAAAGATTCAAACTCTAGAAACTAATCTTGGTACCTTACTCTTCTGGGGGTGGAGTAGGACCTGAAAATTAGATTTAACATGTTTTGTAATCCCAATGTAATTTATTTGATGGAGCTCATCTCTAGCCTATGTTACACCGATACGGATATGGATGGCGACACGGATACGACCCAATATGGATACATGACACATCAATTCTTAAAAATACAGGATACGGGTACGGCATGGACTTATATTATAATTATAAATCATACATAAAAATTAAGAAAGCAATCAAAGCATAATATTTGAAATTACAAAAAAAAAAGAAAGTAACATCATTTGTAGCCTTGTAGCTTATAATATCAAAATAAAAGTAAGCATTAAATGTCTAGTACAACAATAAAAGCATAAACATAAATTGTCTAGCACATGACTACTCAATAGAAGGAATGATATGATTAGCTTCTTCAGTGGTTTGTCTTTGAACTTCTATATCATCTTCGATAAATATCATAGTTTCTAATTCAGGCTCATCAAGTGAAATATTAACAATTTCTAATATTCTCATATCATCAAGAGACTCAAATCCATCTCATAAATGAGAGAACCTCGCTCACAGCCACGGAAGTAAATATGACAGGCCTTTTTTCTGATTTTTTTTTTTTTTTTCAATTGACACGCGGGATACTCATGTCCTTTTGAAATTAAATAGTATTTTAATCGGATACGGCAAAGTCGTATCCGACACGTATCGGTGCCGTATCGGAGGCATATCCGTGTATCGGATACAGCACGCCTTCATAAATAGGAGTATCGATGCAACATAGTCTCTAGCTTAAGATTGTTGATTACATGGAGAGTTGATGTCGTTTGTGTAGGAGAGGAACGGATAATAATTCCAGCTAGAGTTTTACTGTTATGTTACCCTTTCCTTTCATCATATTAAGCATGAGTGACTAGGCAAACAGACAACATTTGGTGATCAAATTTATGCTTTGCATGTCCACAATTTTTTAGCTTAAAGAGTTGGTCTTGCCAACTCAATTAGTGTAAGGACCTGGGATATGATTTATTATAGTTTATGGCCTTGAGAAAATCAATATATTTGCATGCAAATTGAAGCTACAATATTGCAGCGGGTTGGCCAATTCATTATCTTTTTGTCTTAAAACCGTAGATCCCAAAGGCCATAGAACAATTAAAGAAACCAGGAGTATCACTTAGCACTGCCAAATAAAGCACGATAGGTGGAATAGTCTGAATCTTTGGCAGGATCAGATCAATCAAATTAGGAGAAGGCTTTATTTTTTGTGATGGTTGGCTTCAAATTATGGAAACCCTTCTTTTTTTATCAAATTTCTAATATTTTTTATAAATTTTAAGCCTCGAAATGTCCCTGCAAAAGGTTTAAAAGCACTTCAAAGTTTCAAATTATTACGCGACCCTCTCCAGAATTTTTATTTTTTAACATTTTCTTAGATTCTACCTACATGTTTTTGCACTTTTTTATTCAAGTTATTTTCATCATTTCAAAAATGTCAAGAGGCTTTATTGCAAATTTCATAATCAAGTTGAGTTTCAAGCTGCTGTTAATGTTTCTGGTTGGCATGATCAAAAGTTGGAGGGTACCATATGTTACTGATAGGAAACACTTGGATTCACAAGTGTTCCTAGCCAAAATCAGTAAACTGCAGCGATGATATTGCTCCACAAACAGATAAAAACAGGAGTTTTACACGAGAAATTTGAGAAAAATCCAAACAAAACCTTTGTATTTCACTAGTAGATGAATAAAACAACAAAGATACAATTGATCCTCAATTCGAGAGGAGGATCGATCTCTCCCAAATCTCTAGACGCCGCTAGAGCCCAAAGAAAACCTAAATCTAAGAGATCTCAAATTTCAGCCAGATTCAAGATCCTCAAACCCTAGGACAATCAACTATTTAATACATACAATTCAAAAGGAATTCCCTAAACAGTCCCTGCAATCAATTTCCCTCATAAACTTCCTCAAAAAAACTTCCTAAACGGCTCTACGTGGGCTGGTTGGGCCGCTCGTTCTCCACTAGGAGGCGGATTCTCTGCCTGTTCGCGAATTTGCCGGTCCCGTGCAAACTGGCTGGACCGGTCCAGTGGACCGGTCTAACAATACTTCCCTCCCAAAAATCCACCTTGTCCTCAAGGTGGAGATATACTCGTGTTCCCGTTGAGGTGGCCATACTTGATGTGGCTGAAAATCCTTACCAACTTGCTGACTCAAGGGTTGCACGGAACGAGAAACATCCCCTCCCTCCTCCATCCTGATCACATTCAGCTTGTGTAGTCCCA